GCATGACTTCGTAGTGTAGTGGTCAGCACGCTCGACGCTTATCAGAGAAGTCTGTGGTTCGAGTCCCGGCGAGAGCATTGCTCATTTTTCACATCTCTTGTTTAGAAATAATCTAATGTCGCTACAATGTTAACTGTAGGGGCGTCTCAACAAGTTTCATGATCAACAGATGGCAGCATTACTAAGGCGCATACGTTTTTACGTTTGTTTAGAAATTTAGTGGATAACCACTTTCCTTCGAATTGAATAGGAAGAGAATATCCTGTTTGAGGCAGAATAACTACCAAGGTCCTCAAGGCAGAGTAACTACCAAGGTGTTCAAGGCAGAGTAACTACCCCTATATGTCCTAGCAATTTTTCTGTGGAAATATATAGCGAAAAAAAAATGGACATTTCTATATCTCTCGTTCTACTGGGCTGGTTAACGAAATTCAGCCTGCGTTTTTCATGTCTCGAAAACGCGACTTCGGATACGTATTAGATTTATATATAGCATTGTTCTAATATAGGAATGTTGACGCAAAATCGAACATTTCTGAAATGACTTGCCAATGTTTTTCCATATTTCGAGTCTGCGAAATTAAAATTATGCCAAACTGCCAAGTTTTCTAAAAATCGCACGAGTAGTTTTTAAAAAATTAGCTCTAAAAATTTAGTTCCTCAAACTTAATTCAAGTAGATATATATTTATTAATACAGCTTTTTTTACTAAACATACATGATTTCGCCTTCCAGAATTCGAAATTTAGGCTTAATCGAACCATAATTTGCACATTTTTTATAATTTATTTTTAGAATTTTATTTTTTAATATTTTTCTATTTTTTTGGGGGGGGGGGAATATTTGTGCAATAACCTATAAAATGTTGGACATCATCTTAAAGTAGATGTATTTCTAGGCACATCTGCAAAAAATTAGAGTTTGTTATTAAAACTTTCCTAAGATATACGTGAATTTACATTTTGGCGCGTTTTGAAACTTGGCTTATTTAATATAAGCGATAACAACGAAAATGTCGTTTACGCACTTTTTGTTAAAATTATTTAAAGAATGAACGATGGACCTTTTTTCCTCTCGTGCATCAATGAAAAAAAAGGAAAGTAACTAGGTTAGAATAAATTAAGAATTCCACCAAGGGAATTAACTGAAACTGAAAGCAACTGAAAAAAGTGCGCAAAGGTAAATTTTTGAATTTCTCCGTAAATGTTACACCAGATTTTACAAAATTTAATATTTAGGCATAACTTGAGTATTGAAATATGGAAGAAAATTGGCATGTCATTTCAGAAAAAGTCCAATTTTGTGTCAAAATATTATTGAGCAATTATATAAAATCTAATAAAAGTCGCTTAACAAGAAGTTTGAATTTCTTAATCAGTAGTAACAAATCAGAAGTTTTTTGTTTTTTTTTTTTTTTTTGTTTTACACTCATGTCCATAAATTAAGGATAATGCAAAATCAGGCAAAAACAAATTTGACTTATTTGTAAAGCTTATTTATTAAACAAAAGGTAAAGAGCAAAAAAGATGCTATATGTTTGATATTATTAAAAAAATTAGCGATTTTTTCTCCCTGGAGCAAATTACAAAAAAAAAAAAAAAAAAAAACTATTTACAAAAAACCAATATTACATGGTTGGTATGATTGTTAATACATTGTATGTCTCCCAGACGATGCAATACAGTCCGTACAACGCCTAGGCATGCTGAGTATCAAATTATCGATCTGATCTTGGGGGATATTACACCACTCAAAAAGCAATGCTCTCCGAAGTTCCGGTAGACATGTAGGAGGAGGTTGACGGGCTGCAACTCGTCGGCCAAGCATGTCCCACACGTGCTCTACTGGATTCAAGTCCGGTGAGAATGCTGGCCAGTCCATACGGGTGATATCCTCCGATTGAAGGCATTCGCTTACGATGTTTGCACGGTGAGGACGGGCGTTGTCATCCATAAACACAAATTGTGCGCCCATGGCGCCCCGAAACAAACGTACATGTTGTTCCAGAATGACGTCCCGATAGATTTGGCTTGTCATGGTTCCAATTTGAACATGCAGGTCAGTTCTGGAACCCAGAATAATTCCACCCCAAACGAGCACTCCTGCACCACCGTAACGGTGTCGTTCAATGATGTTTTCTTGGTGGTAACGGGTACCTGGAGCTCTCCATATGAAAGTCCGGCGAGAATCAGACTGCAAGCTAAACCTGGACTCGTCGGAAAACATCACACAAGCCCACTGTTGCGGTGTCCACAATGCATGCTCTCTACTCCAGGCTAACCGCAGGCGACAGTGAGTTGCAGTAAGTGGAACGCATCTGACAGGTCTACGAGCATATAGACCAATCTGCCCTAAGCGTCTGTACACGGTCTGCCTTGAAATTGTCGTACCAGTGGCTGAAGAGAGCTGACGAGACAGGTCTGAGGCTGTGCTCCGCCTGTTTCTTTTGGCAGTAACTGCCAAATACCGGTTCTCATTCGGCGTTGTAACTCTGGGGCGACCTGTGCTGTAACGTCTACTCACATTACCATCATCTTGGAATCGTTGCCAAAGCCTGGAGATGACACTCTGGGCAATTCCAAGTTCGTCTGATACTTCCAGTTGGGTACGCCCACATTCCAGACGGCCGATAATTCTACCACGTAAAAAATCATCCAAATGCGTCCTTTGTGTCATAACTATTCGGTTATTGCACTGAAATGCTTATAAAGCGCCTGCGAACAATTTTACTTCTTTGCCTGTATTCCTTATATATCACTCTCTTACACTCTCGTCATTGTGACGTACCATCGGTGTCATCTGGTTACTTCCTGAAATTTGCATATGATTCTTGAAGATGTGTGTAGTGATTTTACAGGTGATATATTTATTTTAGAGTTCGATTTCCGCGTGACTCCGAATTATCTTAATTATGGGCAGAGTGTAGTTCAAGGGACATTGTCCTTGAGGGGTTTAATTCGTTTCGTATTTGCGTTGAACGACGAATCTCTTTTGAAATGGTTGCCACCAAATATTATCGTCCTGTATTATATTTAAAGAAATTACATAATGGAGAATCTGCATTAATGTATGTATGTTTCTCGTATTGTGATGAAACAACAGTACCTAGAGCCATCAACATATGAATAACGTAATCTTACATAAAATATGTGTATGTGGATGTGTTTGTTTTATTATTGATTTCATATTTTGTAACACTTGAAGGAATTTTTAATTAAAAAACTAAACGATTTGAAAGCGACAATGGCAACAATGTACGAAAAAAATTTTTATCTCCAGTGCGCGAGACTCTATATCGGAAGTTCTACAGATATGCTCATTTAAAAATTCTTTTGGGATATTACTGTGGAACTGAATTTTATTGTTTGAGTACATGGAAAATGCTATTTAATAAATAAAGGTAAAACACAAAACGTTAAAAAACGCCCTTTTGGACGTAATTTAAAATCTGAAACCTTTCACATTTTTTGTGTGGTTTATTTATTTAGTTATTTAGTTTTGGCGCAGTGTACATCATAATTCTTGGGGAAAACCTTAACATTTTTCGAGAAAGAATTGTCGCAAGATGTCTGTATTGCCTCAGATTGTGAAGAAAACCTAGAGGAGACTGACATTTGTCGAGCAGCTAAGGGAGCGATCGTGAAGATATGCTGATTTTCAAATCAAGTAATGTTTCTGAAATTTATATATATATATATAAATTTTTCTGTAATTTACATATCTATATTTGAGTATGCTCAGAATAAGATAAACTTGATGAGTTTTCCTTTCGTCCCCCTTCCCCAAAAAAAATTCGATGGTTATCCTTATTTTTTCCCAGGACATTGTTTTGGCTAGATATTTAGCTGGACAACCTGCATGTAAATATTATAATCTTGAATCATTAAAGTGTTTTATTACTAACATTATTATAAAATTATTAATTAGATATCATTATTATTACGGTTTATGTATTTATTTAGTTATTTTTAGTAGAATTACAATTAAAATTGTTTTATTTTCCCGTGCAATGCAGCGCGCGACGAGTTTTAAGAGAAAGGCCGAAAATGTAGAAATACAGGATCACGCGCATTTAACATTTAATAAATATATATCTCTAATTGTACTCTTTTGCTTTCTAGAAATCTAGAGAAAATACCAGAAAGTTCTGGTGTATGATTAAAAATCTTATAAAATGTGGATTAAAATATCTTAGTTCAGTTGTTCACTTATTTGTTGTTGTTGACTGCAGCGAATTCGCAGTGAGATCGAATTAGCTTTCTCTGAATTTGAATTGTGTTCTGTTTAACGTTATTGTGATATTCTGTGAATATCTGTCAGGAAAGATTTCAGCATTTTGTTTTATTTCTTGTGATAAGGATACATTTTATTAACTTTTCATCAGACTTGTCCATTCAATCTATTACGAACCCGTACGCATGCAACATTATTATTATATTATTAATTATTATTAGTACTTTTTACATCAATTTCATATTTTATACATGCACACACACAAATAGGTATATATATATATATATATATATATATAAAACACTCTATTCTTCAAAAGAGCGAAATGAAACAGTAAAACCAAATTAGCGAATTATTCAACTCAAGTTCTGTGTATTAAGCTCCAGGCTTAAGCTATAAGATTAATAAGATTATTTTATTTGTAAGATTAATTTATAAGATATATAAGAATAATTTATAAGATATTATAATAAAGTATTATAATTATTTTATTTTAATAATTATAAGGTTATTATAATATTTGTTATAATATATTATTATTTAAGGTAATAAGATTTCCTGCATTTTTAATAATGGGTGTCGTAAAATATTTCTTGTGTTTCTTGTAAGATTATAGGAAACAAAGCTGCAACGTTTCCTTTAAAAAATTATCTAGATATTAAATTACAACAAATAAATAAATTGTAAGAAAGGTGTATCTTTCTTTGGAATGAGTTAGTTTTTAAAAAGATACTTATCTCCTAGTATTCAGTACTAAGATTACTTACTGTAAATTCGTAACAGGTGTTGCTAAGTCTCCAATGGTAGTAAGAGTGAGGGTCGACCAATAGACAGATCCTAGATATTTCCGCGAAAGCGTCGCATAGTCATCGACAGGCTTTCTATAAGACCACTCTCCAACGAAGCCTTCCAGTTCGGAGAGCATGTAGTAAAAGCAGCCAAACCAGTGGGCCAGCAGTAGCAAGATGTGTATAAGATTTACAACTCTCCATAAGTTGGGATAGATTGTGCGGGACTCAACCATGTAGTAAAAACGGAAGGAACGGTACACTTTCAAGAATCTGTTCAAAGAGAAGAAAAAGGTATAAAAAATGAAAGTCATGTCAAATTACTTAAAAATGAAATGAAGAGTTTAATATAGAGGAATTGTTTTTTTCCTTTTTATAGAACTATTAATTTGTCAACGAAGAAAAACTTACAATAAAGTAGAGATGTGAACTGAAATAGGTTACACTAATATATAAAATACATAGTGGCACATATATCTGTGAAATGAGTTAATCAGAAAAGGAAAGAAAATGCGAAGGAAAATGCTTCTACTGTTTTCCTTCTATTTCCGTTTTTGCTTTGTTATTTACCCTACTTTATTTATGTTCTCTAATTACAAATGTGACTTATGTTTATGTTATTTAATAAAGTAAATCTTTGTGTTTTGTGCAAATTATTAGACATATTTTAAGGATTTAAAGTTTTACTAACATTTATTTTTATTTTAAAACTTTGCTATCCTCTCTTATTTTCCATTTCCGGTCAGAATAAGCGCGAGTAAAATTGTTTATGCAAATGAGGTTGTAAACTGTATAAGTATTTAAGATTATAGCTTTTAGCCGAAAGAGAGAGACTTCTTGCTGCCTTACCATATGCTGCATTTTAGCCAGTTTATGTTTGCCTGTAAGGCCAGAACTTAGTTCTCGCTGATATTTGAAGACGTATTGTAGTTTTTTTTTTGCAGTTCGCTCACTACATACGTAGTGTTAAAAGGCTAATCTTCGCGTTACTAGTCATTTACTACACGGTAATAAAAGTTCAGTTCTTATTTAGTGCAGTTAGTTTGTATATTAATATTTTCTACATTTTAGACCATAAGTGCTGGTCTCTGTATCCCGAAGTGCGGGAACGGCTGTACGCTGTGAGAAATAAAGGGTAAATTTAATTCTTCTTATTTTTGTTGTATCTTCTACACACGCACGAACATAGTTTTGAGTAAGCTTCCTGTTCCTACTAAGGACTCCAGTTATGTTTCCAAAGGCAATTAGAAGGAATAGCATTCCTGACAATATAAGCTACATTTAATTCAAAAACACAGGATATTTTTAAAACCAGTTCCTAACTATCTCTTTAGTGTTGCCGTCTGACAAGAATCCCATTCTTTGCAGAGCTTTCTTTGGCATATTTAAAGCTACGAAATGATAGGGTAGTATTGGTGGCGGTGAGAGTTCGATTTTATAGTTCAAAGTTTCTCGTTCAGTTTAACATTTCACATTCATCACAGCTCTGCGTTTCACGAAGTGATGAGATGTAGTACTTCTGGACTAAAGCATAACGTTAGCATCACCGTTTCCCCAAAGCTATAAATTATCTAAAATTTTTCTGAGTGAACTGGGATGTTTCCCTTACAGACTGATGCTTTGAGTTCAGCTCAAAATGACCCCATCATGTTTCAGTGTTGTTAGGAATATTTTCTCTCCTGTAGCATATTATTTCAGGCAATGGAGAGATATAGCTTACGAAATGCCTCTTGCTACAACCAAGTCGTAAGAGGCCCAATGGAAACATTTATTAAGGAAATTCAGCTAATACGTAACAGACAATTAAAATGTCCTAATACTCAAGCAAACAAAGTCAAGGTGAGTGTGTTCATTCACTTAAACAGTGGCATCTGTAGAACGCTTCGGTGTACCAATTCGCTGATAATTTAATAATCGTACATCTCTGACACTCTTCCACTCCTCCTATTGTGTTTATGAACCCTAGCTTTCTGTTGATGAATTTCAAAGACATCCTTCTGCCGCCAAAAAGCGCGCTACTGCTCGTTGTTTTCCTTTTGATGGATCCATCGTATTTCTGAGCTAACTTGAAGTGTAATGTTAGCAAGAAAGGTTCGCTCGCTTGTTTAGTTATTTCCTACTAATTTTGAAGTAAGCTACAGGATCGTACACGAAAAGCTGACCCACTTACGTGTACAGACAGATACTATTTCGTCACGCCTGCTTCGTTGTTGCGAACATTGTAGAACCATCTCATTGTCATTCCAAAAATAAAAAAAAAACATATAGGTACAAAAAACATATGAAGGAGCTCCAAAAGGTGTACTCTTTTTCAGCCATAGAAGCAAGACTCGTAACAGGCAAAAGTGGGAACTGGTAGCAGGCAAATGGCAGCAGGATGTTCGTAAACTACACCTTATATTTCTTTTTTACTTTCCTTAGGATGATGAGATGTAGGATTTTCCTTTTTGGACTGTTACTCTTAAGGTATTTCTAAAGTGTTGCCTGAACCGCTGGTTTTTTCTAGCAGCCTTCAGTAGTGTTTTAATGAGTTCTTTCTATAAAGTATGCTTAAAAGATTTCATGCAGCTCTTTTTCTGTTCAAGGAATTAATACTATATACTACTGCATAAGGAACATTTATGGGTTGTGAGAATAGAAGATGCGTCTGTTATGAAATTTTGTCTGAATGCAGAGAATTTTGGATACATTTAAAACACGAAATCAAAACGCATTTTGTGATTTTGTAATTATGCAGTAAATTATTATTTTTTACATAATGATGCGCCAATACCCACTAAAATTTCAGAAAACGGAGTTTAGTTTTAAAATGGTAAATCGCCAGTTTCATCTTCCAGGGAAGAAAAATGTACAACATAAATAGCAATACAAAATGCTTAACGATTAGCTATTAAAAGAGCCTACCGGTATGCATTTTACATAGTTATTTTATTTTTAGATGCATTAACCCAGTTGGCTTTAAAATGTATCCTCTGTTATTTCACGGCATGTCGTATTCAAAAGTTTCACTATAACATTCAGAAAGCATTTGATTAAACTCTTTCATTTATTTACATTTATCTAAATTTCTTCTTATTTATTAAAAAAGAAAATATTTCTTCTGAAGCAATCACATTGCATGAATTACTTTATAACATCAAGATAAATATTACACAGCATGTCAAAAAAGGCGAATAGCTTAATAATAGATATCGTAAAGATTTGTATCACATAAATGAAAAATGAAACTTGTCTCAGAAGAATTTAAATTATTATATGTTTATATGAAATTAATCACTGACTATAACCGAGGAAACATATGAAATGTTCACCTAGGAAATCTGACGATTGGAAGTACTCCAACACGAAATTGGATCAAATCCAAAGGTGTGATGGCGACGATGTCCATCAGGAAGCTCTTAGACTTGAAATAATGAAAGGCCAACTTCTTGCTTTCACACACCATTAAACCTTGCTCAAGGTAACCAGTCCGGAACTGAAAGATAATATCGAGGGCAAATACTACGTCCGTAAAACCATCCAAACAATACCAGGCTATAGAACGGTCTTCTTGTAGCTCTGGAAATGCCTATAAAGTAGAAAAAAAACTTTGTTTAGTGCTGAATGAAATGTTACATATAATTCTGCCTAATTTTCGCAGACTGATATTTGAAAATTAAAAGAGAGAAAATTGAAAAAAAAAATTATTCGTGGGTACCTAGAGATGGGTCCATTGCTACCTAGGGAGCTTACTGTCTGTATTATATACTCGTCCTAAAATATAAGCAACATTCGCTAAAAGAAAAAATACGAATGCAAAAAGAGGAATTAAAGCATGGAATTTACTTATGAGATAGAGGTTGCATCGACGAAACGAAACTGCCAGCCAAAATTAGTATAAAACGCATTCACACCACAACCACATTCACACCACAACGCCTTTAAAAAGGGCATGAAGTACCTATGCGTCAGTTTGAAAGCAAAGCAGCAATAGTTCCGTGTAATCCGGTATAGGAAAAGCGGAAAGTATGAGCAGAAGACACTATCTGTACGATGAAATGCGTCGGAAGTCTGTTGGGATGTTGCAAACTGGTGCAAAACAATCCATGGTTGCGAAAGAGCTGAATGCGGATCGCAGTACCATCAATAGCCTGTTCCCAAAGGGATGTTATCAATTAATCATTACCAAAGGGATCAAAACCTCTGTAGAAGACGTGGGTCTGGATGCTGGAGGATTACCACAACGGCAGATCATCGCTTCATATGGTTATGTGCAAGACGTCGTAGGTCACTAACCACACGACAGCTTGCGTCACATCTGTCTACTGCTGCAGGACGGTCCAAATCGGACCCATGAATATCACAGTTGGATACTAGAGCTGTGAAGCCACGTAGTCTTTAAGGGTGCATCTTGATTTAATGTCCAAAACAATTTTACCAAAAGACAGTTACATTTAGAGAGCAAGGAGCATGCTATCAGGCGCTAAACATCGTTGAATGACACCATTACAGAGGAGAATGTTTACTTGTATGGGTTGGGACAGCAACGGTCAGCCGCTCTGACCTCTATGTGATTCCTGGCGGATCTGTCTAAGGCCTCCGATATCGGGACGAAATTCTACACCCTCTTATGCTTCTTTTTATCGCTGCAGAGGGTTCAGACGTGATATTCATGGACGATAAGTCCCACCTGCATACAGCATGAGTGGCGCAGAGTTATTCGGAGAGTGAAACCATTTGGCATCTGCCGCGACTAGATCACCGGATCTGAATTTAACGGAGCGTATGTGGGACATGTTGCGACAACGCATGCAGTTCGCAGTGTTCCGCCAGGAACCCTCCGCGAGCTCCGACACACATTACTATAGGAATGGGAGTTACTGCAACAACAAGCAATCCACGACACAATTATCAGCTTGCCTCGTCGTTGCCACGCATGCATTTCAGTCAGAGGATATCATACCCGTTATTATCGTGATGTTTCCATTGTAGATTCATCCGACCCATTTGGTCTTTCGCGATGTGAAGATCGTAACACATGTGTTTCTTGTATGAACATTTGCTTAATTGTTTACTGTGCAGTTTAGTAATGCCACACCAACCTTTTGGATCAATTTGACGCATATCTATTATACAGTTTTTTTATTCCGTGCTTCGTATTTGCTGCTTTGTTTTTTAGCAGGAGCGTAACATGGTGTCATGAAGTTAGACCTTGTAGTCTACAGATTATTACAGTTCGGCTGAGTTTCAGCAAAGACAAGAATTTCATTTTACTGTATTTTATCGACATAGGGCATACATAGGTTTCTCACAATTTAAGAAAGCACAGTTTTTCTAAATATCTATACATATGGGAAAAGCAGGGTAAAGGGAAGAAAGAGTGACCACTGGTTTGTTTATACGAACATAGTTTTGAACGTAATCAGGTTTCGAAAAATACGAATTGCATAATACATGGAACTGAACTAGTGATAATAGGAAGAATAACGTGTTTAATGCACAATTCCTACAAATAGATATCACAGGCGTACAGTAGGATTTCATATTCTAAAAGATAGCGACTGTACTTGATAATTCAAAAGTGGTTGGAGGAGCATTTAAACTACATTATATAGTCTTCAGAGTAAGACTTCAAATACGACACTAAATTTAATTGCTTTGATTAAAATATTTTGTTTGTCGACAAGTAAAACATGTTTCAGCATTCTCTTAAAGTCCCTAATCTTTTGCAAATAAAATCATCTTATTTTTTTTAATCTTTGCGTAAAACAATTACTGAATACAAAATTTGCTCCTTTTCTCTTTCTCTTTTTTCTTTCTACTATAGTTAAATAATTTTCGGATTTATTCATTAACTAAAACAGATGCGGACGTAAGATTTGTGTGAAAGCTAAGTAGCGCAAAGCGAATTTCCGTAAAGGGGAGGATACTTCTGTTATAAATGTAGATAAAATACACGTACCTGTCTGGCAATGATGGTCCAGGCGTTATAAAGTAAACACACAGTTAGAAGTGAGAGCCAATAGAAAAGAATATTTTCATCGGGATTGACGACAGAGCGCCAGGTACCGAAGAATGGACTTTTAACCATCCCGTCGGCTCCACGCCGCGAGGAACCTTCAATGGTGTTCGGATCTGGAATCTGGCGCGTCGAAAATCTCTTTAAAAAAGAATCTTCTCTCTTCAAAGGCGGTTTTTTGTGCCCCTGTTGAAAATTTAAATTAACAGATATTTAATTTAATGCCTCCAACGATAATTTTTGCCTATAAGCATCTAAAACTAAATGTAACATGCAGATATATATTTGCAAATTTATAAGAACTTACCTGGGCAATAGCTTGCGAAAGTTGGACGGTGTGACGAAGCTTTAACCAACGGGACCGACCACTGCGGGCAACCGCCGGTGCCCCCTCTGATGGTGGGGCCGAAGAAGATGGGGCCACGTTTGAACTTTCTGCCGGTGGTGGTAAGGAAGTTGATGTTGCTGAAAAAAGGAAGAAAAGAAGGGATATCCATAAATAAAGTAATTTTTTTCCGCTTGAAGTTAGAGTTTGTCAAAGAGACTTTTCAGAGTGGTGATACCAATAAAGAACCTGGAAAAATTTTACTAATGCCAGAATGGACATAAATTGTGAGAAGATTAGTGATACGAATACGTTTAAACTTTCATATCAATCCTATTTCATTAGTTTTACAATGGATTTACATAGCACAGCCTGAATGGGTAACCATTAACTTAGTTAGGCATTTTATGTTTACTAGACAGGCTACACATGTGGTAAGTGTCATAGTTATTTCCACCTGTAATTTAAACAGGAACAAAATGCTTATAAATCCTTCACAAAGGTACCGCTATTTGCTTTACTGTACTATTCCTTTATTGTATTATTCAGTTATTTGCTTAGCTCACAATGATGCTGAATGCGGATAGACCTGAATGGATAAATAATGACCTTTATGTATTTACTACCATCTTTAGAAACAGTATACTTGTGAATCCATACTTAATTCATATTGAGCCGATAAGAATTTCAGTGCATATGCAAAATAATGTTGTTGAATAAACATGCTTTCAGAATATCCGCTGTAAAAAGACTAAATAATTAAACACACATTTAAATTAAAACAGAATCTTATCCGACCACATATTCATATTTTCAGAAAATTTCACATGTATATATTTTCTTAACACGTACCTTTATGGCTGTTTTTAATTCCTAATTACCAAAGCGACATTACAGCGAAATATTTATAAAAATGTCCTCTCAATAATGATGCTAAATGTAGACATACATACAAATTAATTTTTTTTTTTTTTGAAATTCAGAAGCATTGAAATTGTTAAATGATTTGGTAAATGGTATTTATGCTATTTGCTTGTTAAATGTTAATAAAGTAATTCCTACAGTTACAAAAATCATCCGAATATTAATTACAAAACTTTAATTTTAAGCAAAATATTATGTATATAATATAACATCGTTCATAAACTAAACCCTCTTTTCATCATTTTATACAGCAAATCATTTAATAAAACATCAAACTGTTTCTATACATAAAATCATAATCTTATTAGAAACATTTTTCATGATTTAACTTTTTTCAATATTTTTTAGTAAAATTACTGTAAACTTTGGCAGCTTTAAATCAATTAAAGTAACAAATTTTTGGGAAATCCAGTGGCTGAGCGGTGATATAGCTTCCCCGCAAAGCAGTGTTAGTGGCAGGGAAAGGGTAGAGTTGCCAGATTTGGCACGAAATCGCCCATCTGGCGATGTTTGGCAACAAAATTAGCGATATGTCATAGACAGAGAGAGAAAAATCTAGAATGCATTCTTAGCCGGTTTCTCGAGAACATTCTTAAAGATAGATTAAAGCTATATATACCCTGCCTATACGGGGAGAAAGTGTCAGAGATAACATGAGAGCAATCGGAGATTGTATTTAGCTTCGAATAAGCAAACCAGTTCAGAAGATTACTTATGAGAGAGTAGGATATAGTGTAAAACTTAGGATCATATCAACCGAATTTTCCATCTTTTTTATTATGCAGCTTAATCTTTCTGGCATTATGAAAAGCTTTTTAATCTTCATTTCCAAATTTGACATATTTTAATAGAGCTTTCAGCTTTTCGAGTAACTAAATTGGTTCAGAACACATCAAGGAAATTTACTTGGCATTTAGTTTTAATTTAGCTAAAGAGCTATCAGCGATTGACACGTTCTTCAGTTACAAGACAAATGCTGTCTCAATCAATTTTCAATCAAAATTGTTTTTGTCAATCAAAATTTAAAGCATATTAATGTTATTAATTTTCTCAAAATTAAAATTCATAAATATCATTTCATTTTATAGTTTCGTGCTTTCAACTATAATTTACATTACTAAATGAATTTTGAAGAATTCTATTTCAGAAACCCACGAAATTCAGAACTTCCTATAATATATATTCTTAGCTCAGTTACTCGACACTAATTTGTCCGACAACTGTGACCTCCTACATCCCTACTTCCAGTCAGTACGATTACTAACATAAGGATTGCTGATATACCCGACATATTAACAGTTTTTGATAATTAAATGTATATAGCCATTAGGTTATTTTAATGCGATAGACGTAAAATATGAGCAATACCCTCGCCGTGACTTGAATCTGAACCTCTCGATACGCATGACGCAATCATCAAATACTGGTGGTGAGGAATTATAATCCACCATCTTTTAGTTCGGCCGCCACTGCAAAGTCATTAGTTATTTTTAGACAGGAGTACAAGAAAAATGAGCCAGCCCTCGCCTGGGTACGAACCTGGACCTCTCAAATGCCCGCCGAGTGGGCTACTGTTACATTACGAAGGGATGCTGGAAAAAAGAAGAAAATACCTTATATACTCCTCCTTTTAAAGGCCGACTGTGGATTAGAGGATATAATCGCCAAATCCTGGTGGTGACGAATTTCTGTCCACCATCTTTTAGTTCGGGCGCCACTTTAGAGTCATTAGGTTATTTTAAAGCAAAAGACATGTACATGAAATATGAGCAATGTTCTCGCCGGAACTCGAACCTTGACCTCTCGGATACGCGCCGAGGGTACTACCGTTACACAACGAATGCATGCTGGAAGTGGGAGAAAATACCTTATAAGGAATTTCTTTTTTTTTTTTTTAGTTTTATGCTCGTTTTGTGTGATTGTATGATCTGAGCTTATTACCAGATGTTTATTAAGTTTGTTATTTTCCGTTGTGTTAACCCTTTTTTTTTGTTGTGCTTTGTGGCTTGGCCTGTCCCCTTATAGCCATATGGCAGGTTTCGCCTGCTAGGTGGGCTGGGGGGTCAGTGCTTAGAATTAACTAACTATTCTTATAAGAAAACATTTTCACTGTTTTCTTTAAACAATTTGTTGTGTTACTGAAAGCATTTCTATACATAAATTTGTAAATGGAATATATATGTATATATTGTTTGTGTTTAAATTTTCCTGTGCAAAATTAATTTTTACTTCAAAGTACACTTATAAAATTAGTGACTTATCAATAGGTACAAACAAATGAAACAGCTTTATTGAAGCACTCTTTAAAAATATAAGTTTTATGCTTGACTTTTTAAACTCACTAAAAAAAGAAAAGAAGGGGAAATCCGATTCCATTATTTTGTCTTCCGCGACTTATATCTTGATAAAATATAAAAAAGAGAACTTCTGAACTTGACTATTTCCACAAGCGAACGATGCACATACGAATGTAGATTTAAAAGAGATTTTATTTGCTACTGCATGATATTAGTTACGCACACATCATCAATAACAATGCTGTCATCGTGTGTTAAGGCAGTTGTGGTGTCGAGTATGGATTGGAAAATTTCAGTGTCGAGTAGTATTTGTAAGGTAAACAAGAAGATAGATGGCAAACAAGAGCCGGTAAAAGAGGTGATCCAATTCTATTCCATTAAGGAAATGACCATGAAAGTTTTCATTTATTTAGATAGAAATACTTTCAGGGTGACTTTTAAATGACCTTTCCTACTTTTAGGTATGTGTGTGGGTACTTTAAGGGATCGTATTTACACATGCATGGTAATAACATTCTGATTCCGCTTATAGTGTGAACAGGAGCGCTATAAATGGATATTTGATATCTGAAATAGAATAGTATGATTCTGTAACAATGTAGGGTCAATATTCTAAGTAATATCTTCGCTTATGTTGATTAATTAGATGTGAATTTTATGGCACATAATTAAGGAAATTACAATGTTAATATATTTGGTTGGGTTGATTCTGATTATTAACTTTCGTGTAAACTTGAACATATTAATTACGGACGTTCTTTTCAATGATCTGCATTAAGTATGAAGAACTTTAAAATCCATTTAAATAATTCGTGAAATAGTGCCCTTTTTTTGATTTCCGAATAGAAGGAGTGATGGTGTCAATACTGTGGGTAATAAATATTTAAAAGCCTTTGCTAATGCCAGTTGGCTACTTTCGTCTCGAAAGGTGAAGCAACCTTAAGCTGTACATATCGTAGTTTATGTAAAAACTAAAGGATATTCCAGTTTTAAATGGCTAGGGTTAATTACAGATTCCGATAAAGGAATCTGATGAGAAAATGTGAAGGAAAAACCGTCTTCTAGAACGATTATTCCAGTTTGATGTATTTCTTCTGCAGGTTACACGAAAATGGCAAACTCCACAAGACTTTAAGAAGAGGACTACTTTTTGGTGGAAGATAAGTCTGTCTCGTATTAGGTTTAGACAGCTTAAGGGGAACTGTCTCGTATTCACGTTACACTTGGGAAGCACCACAAACACACACACACAAAACAAAACCAGGCCATTCGCCTGCGATCGAATTCATGTCAAAATTCCAGCGTTCAGTAATTTCAACTATCCGGCCACTGGTAGACTCATCCATATTACAGAACAACAGCGAATTTACTACACGATAGTGGACAAAAAAGGCATTTCTTGACTTTTCGACCCAAACATACCACAATAACTGAAATCGTGAAGAAAGAAAACTTCCACTTTCATGCCTACCAAAGCATGTTTTCAACCAAGCGTGCTGTGCCCAAAGGTGCCTAATTATCTTGATTGATAACTCAACTTTCACAATATAATGACTGAGGTATTGAGAACAAATGTTACAGATCCAGAATCATCCAGATCAATAAACATTCTGGATTTTAAACAAATGTTCAAAATCCAGAATGTTTATTGACTGTAAGTTGCTTGTTAAACTACATCAACTTTTGATCAAATTCCGAACTTCAATGAAACATTGCGGGAGGAAAGTCTACGAAGTGTTTCTTCACGAGTAAATCAATTTTGATACAGGAAAAACCAAAAAGGATTTCTATAGAGAAAAAAGAAAAACATTTGGCAGCTCAGGAGTGCATGAAGTTTTGCTGTTAATGATACCGAAACTGCCATTTGATTTTCATATTGGTGACAAATGTTTTGGTTGAATCAACCCAACGGCTTTAGA